TAGAAACTATTTATAATGTCTGTCATAAATGTATTTTCTGTGATGTTTTTATTGCCAGGAAGTAAGTTTGTGGTTAAGCTCATGGGTCCCTGTTCTTAACTCATTCACCATGAGCTAGAGTTTTCCTTCTCAGTTTATACTGAAAACAATAATATCCTGCACTTGTTATTGCCCTTTTCTGTTTAAATAGTGTCTTAATTAATGTTATCTCATTTGAACTTTTATTGAAAAGTCCTATGAAGTAAGCCTGCCAAGTATTAATAATATGAAATAATATTTTCATTTACACAACCACCTACAGTCCGACCTGGAAAAAATACCAGGATCTAATTATTTAAATCCATCCAATACAGTAGAAATTGTTACAGAAACAAAGAAAATGAATTATCTAGAACATTTGAATTATCTAGAAAATTAGAAAAACCAAGCACAAATATGTGAACAAATAAATAACACCCTGTGGCTAACCACCTCACCAGATGGCAATAGAAACCATGAGTCAGAAAGTATAGGGTTAATTACTGCATCACAATGTGATATGAAAATATGAGAAAGTGGCATCCATTTCTGACAGTCTAGATCTTATCTAGGTGAGACTCACTGAAAGTCTGCACAGCCCCAGGGGTCAACAATGAAGGGAGAGGTATCCAGGAGAAGGGAGAACTTGGAGGGGGCATTATGCTTCTACACTTAATAGGATGTAGCTAGAAGCCAATATCAACCACAGATCATGAATTCAGGAACCTTCAAATTATTCCAGTGCCTCAACCTTTGAACCATCACCTCATTTGAATACAAATGGAACAGAGATAAGATGCCCTGCCAAACACTGCCCAAACTGCAAATTCATCAGTAAATACATGTTAGCATTTGAAGTTACTGAGTCTGGGGGTGGTTAGTTAAGCAGTGTTGGATAACTGGAACACAATGTTTATGCTATTGAACTTCCTGTCCACTGATAGACATTGACCCAGGTAGAAGGTGGTTCTATTTGTAGAAAGGCAGTTGGGTGGGTTGGGCTGATGAGAAGGGAAGGATTGGTGAAGCTATGGGGAGGAAAGAATGAAAGGTGAATGAGAAGCTTTGGGGGACCCTATGAAGAATACATTAAGCAGACTGGGTCTGTGGCTTTCTCATGTCCTCCATGAATCTGTGAGTTTTCTAACTCTCCTAGAGAATGAAGCTAGATTGAACAGCTACCACATTATATCAAAAAGGTAGAAGAGAGCTTGATGTTTTGCAGGAGATCTACAAAGGGGAGTCAGTGGCAGATGTAGGAAATAATACTCTGGGAAGAGAAACTAACATATCATTGATGGAACACTGGTGTAGAAAGGAATCTTAGAGATTGTTTTCTAGATAAGAAAACCAAGATCAGAAAGCTGGAAAACAACTAAGTACTTATTGTACAGTACAGACAGTACAACTGAATTTAAGAGATGAGATGCTAGGTTTGATGAGAAGAAAATGAATGTGTGATGGGCCTTTAAATGCTTTCCAGATGGGGAGATGAGGACACTCAACACAGGCATATGACCATGGGCTCTTTCTGTATCAAAGGAGGGGAAAAAATGTGCCAGTTCTTAAAGTTTGCAGCATAAAATCATGTTGGAAATTTTATCTACTGGAGTCAGCATTTTGGAGCAGTGGGTTGAGCTGCTGCCCATTTGATCACTGGTTTGAGTCAGCTGTTCTACTTTCCATCCAGCTCCTGTTAATGCACCTGGGAAAGCAGTGAAACTGGCCCAACTGCTTGGGCCCCTGAACCTACATGAGAGACCCAGATGGAATTCTAGGCTCCTAGCTTTGGCCTGGCCATCCCTGGCCATCGTGCCCATTTGGGGAATGAACCAGAGGATGGAAGATTCCCTTTCTCCCCCACCCTCCCTCTGTGTAACTGTCTTTCGAATAAATAAATACATCTTTAGAAACAAAAGAAATTTTATCTGCTACACTATAGTGTGGACTGCTCTCTCAAATACACGCAGCATGCAGAGTAAGGGAGCCCGAGTGAGTGACCAATTCTCCAGCAATCAGACCGTGACACATGAGAGTGTGTAAGAGTGTCTTGTGTGGTGTTGTGGATACAGGCAGGAGGAGGAAGGCGAGGGAAGATACTAGCAGGCAGTTACCTGTGTTCCACATTGCCTTTCAGGCTAAAATAAATAAACTTAACAAATTAAGACATGATGTTGTAAATCTGAGTGGCAATCCTGAGTGGTCATTCAGCTTAAGGGAACTCGGTTCCCACTGTCCCTCTCTCTCCCTGTTCCTTTCCTGCTGTGCACAGCATTGATGATCCTCCCTAGAAGAGCAATCTCCTCAACTAGGCTGGGAGAGGAGAGTGTTAACCATGGTGAAATTTGACAGAGGGCTCTGCCCTCTCTGGATCCATGTAGAGCCTTTATGGCCCCTCTAGACTATCACAAGTGCACACACATCAGAACCATAACGAAAGGAAGATGCCTATTTGGAAAGCATAATTGCTCAAGACTGGCCTCTCTTTGGGTGCATCTCTTCTTAAACCAATTGTCTGTATCAGGTCATCTCAGCTGCTAGAATTGTTTTATTTCTCTTTTGAGAAGGTACTGCTAAAATGCCAATTACCTTAGAAGTTATACATTTAATTGATTTAAATTAAAAAGAAATAATTCTGACAGTTATAATAGCTAAGGATTCTAGGGAAAAAATGTCAACTCTAGGTAAAATTGGTAGGCTGTAAAACGGATTGAAGGGGTTTCCGAGAAGGAGGAGGGAATGTGTTCCTGCTTTAACTTTACTTAACATTCAGTGTAGGACACAAAGCCAAAATGAGTAAAGTCAATGACAGCCTTGGGCATATGAGGTGCTGAGGAGGTCAAGATCACCTACTTTTCCTTAGTGCCCAGCAACTGGAACCAAGACAAGTCAATATATATAGGATGTGGGGACTAGAAGGGATCTTAAAAGATAATCTATCATCATTTCTCTGCCTTCAGGGAGAAGGAAACTGAAAATATTCCATATGTATTAGACAGCTCTTGTTTATAAAGTCTGTTGTTTTTTGAAGGAGCTCCCAAAGGAGCCCTGGGGGAGCTATTTAGAATCAACCCATCACCATCAGGAAATTGTCTATGAGTAACCTTTCATATTTTAGTTTTAGACTCTTCCCTTTCACCCACTGGTGAAGAGAAACCACAACTTATTACAATCTTCCTGATAAGAACCCTTAACATTCTTCATCTCTTTTTTCTGAAATATATTTGTTTCTGAAAGCAACGTGTTCATGTGCTGTTTTCCTGTCCTTAAACAATATTTTTGGCCTCATGCTGAACCCGCCTTCAAATTACAGTAATCCCTCTTTTCTCTGCTTTCAGCTACCCATGGTCAACAAGGGGGAGCATGAGTTCAATATAATAAGGTATTTGAAAGACACACACAGAGAGAGAGGGAAGTCAAATTACTTTTATGTTGGTAATAGTTATTGCTATTAATCTCTTAAGGTGTCTGGTGCCTAATTTATACATTAAGCTTTATCAGAAGTCTATATTCACTTGATGATGTCTACAGCCTAGAGCCACACTAGCTTTTTAAACCACAGCCTAATGACAGCTGTTGGTCATTTATTATCATGTCATTTTCCTACCAAACTTGTGTGGAATTATTCCATCTTTTCCAAGAACCTTCCTTTGCTAAATATTTCTTTAATAGCCTGTGATTGCATATTTTAACTGGCTTTTCAATGAAAATGTAGGAACTTTTTTTAATTTAAAACTATATGGCAGCCGGCGCCGCGGCTCACTAGGCTAATCCTCCGCCTAGCGGCGCCGGCACACCGGGTTCTAGTCCCGGTCGGGGCACCGGATTCTGTCCCGGTTGCCCCTCTTCCAGGCCAGCTCTCTGCTGTGGCCAGGGAGTGCAGTGGAGGATGGCCCAGGTGCTTGGGCCCTGCACCCCATGGGAGACCAGGAAAAGCACCTGGCTCCTGGCTCCTGCCATCGGATCAGCGCGGTGCGCCGGCCGCAGCGCGCCAGCCGCGGCGGCCATTGGAGAGTGAACCAACGGCAAAGGAAGACCTTTCTCTCTGTCTCTCTCTCTCACTGTCCACTCTGCCTGTCAAAAAAAAAAAAAAAAAAAAACTATATGGCAAAAAGGCATAGGAGTATACAATGTAAAATTTTCTTCCAATATCTGTTTCAACCACCCATTTCTCCCCCATGAGATTCAACTCCATTTCTTGCTGCATTTTTATTCATGGACAGAGCTCGTAAATACAAAAAGGAATACATATGATTTGCTTTTAGTATGATCAGTAATGTGCTTTAATACTGTACTCCATCTTTTAAAAATTTTAATAATACACCTTGGGGATCTTTTCATTTTGGTACATATACATCTCCCTCGTTCTACTTTAGAGTTGCATATAGTCTACTAAATGTATGCTCCATAATTCATTTATTCCAAGCCTTTCTGGTACTGATTGCTTTCTCCAAAAATACTCTCTACCAGTTGAAGATTGTATAAGATTCACTATCAGGGCTCTCAAACTCAAACGTCTACAGGGGCCAGGAAGGTGACTTAAGTGAGTGAAGTGAACCAACTAGGAAGGCACAAACTCTGTGTAAAGGAAGCAGCCAACAGCTACTTTGCTCCATGAAATTATTATGAATTATTTCCCTCTGGATCTTTGTGATTGATTAGAAGGAATCAATGGGTAGAATGTACATAGGATCTTTCTGCATTATTTGTTACAACTTAATGTGAATCTACAATCATATCAAAATATAACTTTTAATTTTAAAAAACCAAAACTCTAGATCCATTTTATAAATTACCTGATTTTAAAATGTAGGCAAAATTTTAACATTATGTAGGCCAAGAAAAACTCACCTGTCAGTTGGATGCAGCCTCAGGCCCACCACTTTATTGCATATGCACAGCTGATTACAAATGCTTGCTGTAGTTCCATTGCTTGTACAGCGACCATTCCCACTTACTTGTTGAGTTTGTTCTCATTCCAGGTTCTTGGATGTGGCTCTGTTGCCCAGGCTGTCCTGAGTCGAGGACATTTTGGAGGAATTGTCACTCTCAATGTTGGATTTGCTATGTCAGTTGCAATGGCCATTTATGTGACTGGAGGTGTCTCTGGTAAGCAGTAGAAATAACAATAGCTACTATGAACTCAATCATTTTCCAGTGTGCTAATGCAGTGCTGGGTGCTTTACATATATTGATTTACTTATATCTCAACAATTTTTAACAGTTTGTATTCTAGCTCATTTTTTATTTTTGGTAGATGATAAGGTGAATTACTGGTGGAAAGGCAACAATTAGCAAGAGACAGATTTAGGGGTTAGGACTCACATGTGATTCATTCCTAAGTCCAGCACTTTACTAATCAATATGATGCTCTACTGCACACTTAGAAGCGTTTTCTCAGAAATCCCATAGATAGCTCAGTAAAGGTTACTACAACAAATAAAGGTGTCATTTTTTCTTAACTTTTATTTAATGAATATAAATTTCCAAAGTACAGCTTATGGATTACAATGGCTTCCCCCCCATAACTTGTAAATACAATGTTTATCCACAGCAATCAGAGCAGGCCCTTGAAAAATGAATGGTGCTTTCAGGGAAGTGCAGACCTTATCTAGCAGGTCTTAGCTGAATTCTTCCCTGAGAAGTGAGATGATTGGAAACCATTCACAAAGTTATGAGAAGCAAACTGAAATGGCGATATTTAATGAGTCTGAGAACAAAGGGACTATAGAAATGATCTGGTACCAAAGGATCTTCGAGTGGCCTGGGCTGAGCACTGAGCACTGAGCACTGATGCAAGACTGCTGGTGGTAAAGGAAGACAGGGATCTGAGCAGTCCCTGCGGGCTGGGCACAGTGCAGGTGTCGGATGTCCTTGACCTCCTTCTTGCTTGACCACAGCCCTCTGAGGCTGGCATTTTGTGGTCTCCGTTCTCCATAGAAAAACAAAACCCCTGATGCTGAAAGTAAACCAGTAAATTGCTGGAAGTCCTGCTGCTGATTAGGAGACAGAGCAAAGCTCTGACCCAGGTCTATGTGAGAGTGAAGCACACGTCCCCATTCTGACACATGTCCAGTGGCCTTGTAAGGGAAAGGGCCTTTGGGCAGAAAAACCCTGACAGAGGTCTAAGCTGGCTGACCTGGTAACAAACGCTGCTGGAGTGTTGAAGAGTGATTTTTTTTAAGCAGCTCCCTGCAGACTCCCTGGGCTGGGCACCTATAATGGTCGTTTACTGTCATTGCCTTCCCCTGTTACATACAGGCTCAGACCCTGGGCTAGTCTGAATGATGGATTCCTGTGTATGTGATTTGCTTGGTACGAGCAATGTCTCCTTTCAAACTCTTGTCAGTCTTTGCTGTGATCATAGCACAGTGCCACCTAACTCAAGTCAAACCATATGTAGGGTGTGCACGCCAAGGCTGAGTTAGAGTGCAGGTCTCTATACCAGACACAAAATACCTTCTAGGCTTAAAACAAGTGTGCAAGATACCACACTGCTGCCCCATACAAGCTCTGCTACATTCACGTAAATGTGTTTCCACAACCCATGCAATATAAACATGTGCATATTTTTGGCTACTTTTAAGGTGGAGACATTGTTTTGGAGTATTTTACCTGCTTAACACCCTGAACTAAACACCATCAGGTGGCTCCACCAGCCTCAGACCCTACAGTTGTAGCTAAAACCCTTATGACCACCATGGTCCACATCTGTTTGTGTCTGTTATATATATCAGCAGCTCAACAAAGTCAACATGAAAGCAACCAATCCAGTTGAGAAGAAATAAAAATGGCCAACAGATATATGATAAAGAGATTCCAAAATACAAATCAAGTCTGAACCTGATTGATGAAAGATAGCATCAGCTTGGAAAGGGATCCCTTATCACCCATTTTTGTTTGAAAACCATCATGGCATGAGTGAAAATTAGTGGCTCTGAGAATGCGCAGAGACAACACACTTGCCCACCAGGACCTCCATGCAGGCCATAGCATCACCACTGAGCTCACAACTGCAGGAACAGGAGAGGGAGTTTGTATGGGGGAGGTGGCGTAGCTAACGAATCAACTTAAGGGCACATGTGAAGCTCTCCTGGAAGATTCCAAAAATGACCAATGTAGACTGTGCATAAGTAGAATGTGATATGTTTTGTGACCACAGACTGGTAAGGTCAGCTGATATCTGACTTTTAAATAAAAAACATCACCTCACTAAAAAGGAGTTACAACATCCTACTCCCTTGTGAATCATATCACATCCAGTCAATCAGAAATCACAATGTCCTAATTATGTAGCATTTCAAATGAAGTGTTTCAAAGTAGTTGTTTTAGTTGTAGCAATGTGTAAGTATACTAAATTCACTGAAAAAGCAAAATAGTGGCACTTAATGAAAAATAAAGAGAGTTTATCTCTACCACATGATTGTGGGTGGTAGAGAAGATGGAATTAGCCTAGCAGAACCTAGAAAGAGTTCACTTTGTTCACTGAAGACTTTCATCTTGCACTTTATAGGGTCTAGCTGCACCCTCAAGCACTTTTTGTGAGTAACTTGATGATCATGATGATCTTGATAGAAGTGATATTTGAGAGCAGCACTCTATGGCTCTAGTAGTTGTGTTCTTTCCACCACACTGATACACTTTGTGCTTATGGTGACTCAGTTCTGACCATCCACCTCTGCAGGGAGAAATTTCCAGTAGCTGCTTAGCTCCCAGCCAAACATATCAGGATGCCTCTGTTCCACCTCCCTTTCTGAACCTTTCTTCAAGTCTACCTCCTTGCTTCACAAAACACCCTGCCAGGCATATCCTCTCCAGCCCCCAAACAGATTCCCTCCTTGTAGATCTCTGAAGTCTCATCTTTTAAAGCTCAAATACCAACTAAGTGCCTTCACCATGTGATGAATAAGAGTTCTAGCTTCAGGTTGCTGGTAAGGGGCTTAAACAGTATAAACCCACCTATGGGAAATTTTTGTTTTCTAAGAGGAGTTTGTTAAATCCAGAAGTCTCTCATTGGTGGAGTCATGAAAGGGGAGGGATTTTGGTTGGAGGTGATTTCTTAGGCCCCTTGTCCTTCCACAGTGGGTGTCTAGGCTGGTTGGCGGGCAGCTGCTTCCCAACCAGCCTCTGGAAGAGGAAGAGTGGGGCTGGCTTTAGGAAGGTTTCTGGGAAAACTCACCTGCCAGTCCTATGGAGGGTCAGAGGGTACAGGATAGATGGATCATCATCATCGTCATCATTCCCACCATGGTCTCATCTCTCTTTTGTTTACACCATGCACAACTTGAAAGTCCACATTTCAGTGTGGCCACCTTGACAATGACTCTGATTTCCCTCCACACAAAATGTCCTAAGTGTGCAAAGATGATTTTTTAAAATTCTTTATTTTTTTTCTGCCTATGAAAGCAAAGAAGGCTCCATAAACATGGTGGAAAATGGTAGAAGTGGTATGGTATAGTACCTAGGCTTTAGAGTTCAGATAAACCTGTATTTCAACCCTGGTTCTACCACTTACTGGCCAGTTGGACTTAAGAATGTTACTTCTATGCCTCAGTTTCTTCAGGGTGAATTGGAGTAGTACCCAGATCACTGGTTTATTAAGAGGATTCAACACCCGTAATAATACCCTCAGCAAGTGATAGCATCTGGTAAGAGTTCAGTAAATGTTGCTGCTGTATGAACACAGCCAGCCAGAAATGTTAGGGACCTTCCTCAGAGCAAACCCTCTGTTTTATTTTGTGGTTAGATAAGAATCAAGGAAGCTGATTTCTCTAGCTGTGGTTTGGGTTGGGTGAGAAAAGGGTTGTTACATTTCTGTGCACTGATGAAATATATACTGTTTATGCAGAGGAATTGAGGAGAACCCACTAAGACACTGTTACCAACTCAAAATATGCTAGGCCCATTACCTGAAGGAGAGCCACAGCCATGGGAATTAACATAATTTTTATATCCTCTGGGCGTGGGCTATGGAATGGCTACATATGGATCTAAATGTTATTTGTATACTGTATCATTACATTACCTTTAATCAATACGCAAGTCTTCTTAAGTGCTGAAACTTAACTGAAAAGTGATCGCTGTTAAATATAAGAGGGGGAATAAGAGAGGGAAGAGATGTGCAATTCGGGACATGCTCAAGCTGACTTACCTCAAACAATAGAGTTAGAAACATACCAGGGGATTCGAATTCAATCCCATCGAGGTGGCATGTACCAATGCCATCTCACTAGTCCCAGTGATCAATTTCTGTTCACAATTGATCGTAATGATAGGACTAAGAACCAAAGGGATCACATAAACAAGAATAGTGTCTGCAAATACTAGCTGATAGAATCAAAAAGGGAGAGAATGATCCAACATGGGAAGTGAGATACACAGCAGCCCCACAGAATGGCAAATGTCCTAACAGCACTCTGGCCTCATAATCAGCCCTTAAGGCATGCGGATCCGGCTGAAATGCCCATGAGAGTATTTCAGGCATGGAAAGCCAAGACACTCTGGGGGAAAAAAAAAAACCTAAATGAAAGATTTCCACAAGTGAGATCCCAGTGGAAAGAATGGGTCATCAAAGAAGGAGGTACCTTTCTCTGAAGGGAGGAGAGAACTTCCACTTTGACCATGGCCTTGTCTAAATATGATCAGAGTCAGTGAACTCAGGGGGCTTCCATAGCCTTGGCAACTCATGACAAGAGCCTAGGGTGATTGCTGATGCCATAAACAAGAGTGTCAATTTGTTAAGTCAACACAGGAGTCACTATGCACTTACTCCTCATGTAGGATCTTTGTCCTTAGTGTGCTGTACATTGAGATTTAATGCTGTAATGAGTACTTAAACAGTATATTTCACTTTATGTTTCTGTGTGGGAGCAAACTGTTGAAATCTTAATGTATGCTCAACTGATCTTCTGTATATAAAGAGAATCAAAAATGAATCTTGATATGAATGGAAGGGGAGAGGGAGTGGATAAGGGGAGGGTTGCGGGTAGGAGGGACATTATGGGGGGAAGCCATTGTAATCAATATTCTGTACTTTGGAAATTTATATTCATTAAATAAAAGTTAAAAAAAATTAAATAGGTTATAATAATCTACTTGGTGTTATTGCATTACAAGTAGACTTTAAAAAACATAAAAATGAGCCACTTGAATACATCTAGTTTCTTTTTATGTCTGACTCCATTTTCATAAATAACATGTATAGTATCTAATGATGTGATGAGAATTATTAATCTTCCCTTCCTTCCCCTTCAAACACAAGCTATATGTGTGTCATTTTTTTCTTCTTCTCTCCCGCTTTCTCTGCCCCCCACCCCTTTTCTCTCTCCCTGTCTTTCTCTCCATTCTCTTCATACATAGATCTCTACCTAAAAGATAGTTATACCCAAGAACTCTAGATAAGGTCTTCTTTATAACCATCCTAGTTCTTGGCTTTCACTCTGATATCCATTATCACCTTCTATTCCTTGCAGGTGGTCACATCAACCCAGCTGTGTCTTTCGCAATGTGTCTCTTTGGACGAATGAAATGGTTCAAATTTCCATTTTATGTGGGAGCCCAGTTCTTAGGAGCTTTTGTAGGGGCTGCAACCCTCTTTGGCATTTACTATGGTAAGTAGGGCCCCTGAGTCCAAAGGGAAAGAAGAGCTGATATTAAAGGTTAGAAAGAGGTGACATTAAAGTGAGAAGAAGAATTCTACAATTGACACAAAGTTCTACGCATAAGATCGTGAGTTCATCATTATCATTGGGACCAACTCATAAAGTCTTAATGCAAATGTCCATACCTTAAATGGGGAGCATGACAACACTATAATGTGAACACGCACAAAATGAGTAAAAGACCAATGATTTCTCCACTGCTTTTTCTAATTTGGTTGGGAAAAGAGTTGACTGGTGGCAAAGGGTTTGACCAATAAGCATCCTGGAAAATCTCTTTGAACAAGAGGCAGCTGAAAAGTTGGCTGGGTGGGGAGCCTTAAATTCCTTTTTGTCAAACACCAGAGCTTCTGTTCTGCAATTGTGCTCAAGAAAAACACGATATTAGTGATCAAAGACCCAGAGTTTAGTTCTACTCTGTAGATCTAATCTATTCTGTAGCTGTGTGAATTAAATAAGTCATCTGACTTGATTGGCTTCAGCTTCCTCTTCTGTAAAGTGAAGAGTATTCCAAAGAAGCTCCTTCTGTCTAATCCAATACATGGTGACTGTCAAACTGAAGACCTTAAGAACTAGAATTTATGAACCAAACCTTAGAGAAATAAGTTATAGAAAGGGGTGTCTCCCCATACAGTGCTTTTCTCTGAGAATTAGGGTCTACGAGGACTAAAGGGGACTTCAGAACCAGACCATAAGTTCAGAGAGCCATCCGCTATGTCAAACAGGGGCTGCCATCCTCCTGGCTCTAAGAATGCTTTCCCTATGCTGTGATACCCTCAAATTCTAAAGTCTTTATTAGGGATTACCAAGAACCTTCTGTGAATTATGAATTCTTCCTATAACAGGCCCAAGTGCCAACAAGGCCTTCATCTGATTTTGAAAAATCTAATATTCTCCCACACAAAAATTGGTTGCTGGGATCCCCCTAACTAAGGATTTGGTTTGAGGCTGGCATGATCCATCTGGGGCAGCCAAGAGCTTTCTGTCATTGAGCCACCATCCTGGGATTCCCATGAGCATCTCTAAACTACCATACTATGCAGCATTGCTATGGCAGGCTCAATATGATTGTTTCACTACGGTTATTTTGCCCAACACCTGACATAATCTTCCCTTAGCCGTTCCTAGAGAACACTAATGTACCAGAGCTCTGTTTTCCATAGATGGATTCATGTCTTTTGCTGGTGGAAAATTGCTCATCGTGGGAGAAAATGCAACAGCACATATTTTTGCAACATACCCGGCTCCATATCTGTCTCTGATGAATGCATTTGCAGACCAAGTAAGTGTAGATTCAACACAGACCTAACTTTGGTGACAAGACATAATCTAACAAGAGAAATGTGTTGGCATGTTATAGGCCTATCAGAAAGGAGAGGTTGTATTTCCAAAGTCAGAGGCCCCTGGGAAAGCTTTCTTGGCAATATTTCACCTTTTCACAAGTTGATTCTAGTAAAAGAGTTTTCTACTTCCTCTTTAATACATACATGTATTTCACATTCCAGAAAGAGTGAATTACTAGACATTTCAGCCTCTGTAGAGGCAAATGGGATTCATTTCACCATTGTCATCTCTTTTGTGCACATGGTCTAAGTGGGGAGGTCACGAAAAAGTCCTCTGTATCTGAATTCAAGGACTATGAAGTGTGGTAGTTCAGCCTAGTGTATCATGACTCCTGTCTGTCTCAATATGTGCATAGATTTATAAAAATTCTCGCTATAGCGAGAAATTTAAAAATATTAATATTTTTAAAAGGGGCTGCACCCAAACATCCACAGTGTAGCCAATTGCACCACTATTTTGGTCAGTGTATGGCCAGATCAACATTATCAACCCAACAGACTTTTCCTACTTCTTCCTCTATTGTGTCCCAAGAAGGCTGCTGGTCACCTTGATCAGGGCAGAGGGAGGGAAGGGGGAAGGAAGAAAGGAAGGAGGGAAAGGACAGGACAGGAGAGGCGTTTTCCAGGTAGGGAAAACTGGTGCCATCTGGAGGAAAAGGGCAGGAGGGCAGTTGTTTCATAAACTTGGGACAGCAACACAGAGCTATGAAGAAAAAGAAATCACTGAAGGCAACATGGTGGAAGTCCCTTACCTCTCTATTAATACAGAGGACAGACGGGGCGAATCTTTCTAGCTTCAAAGTGCCAGGAATTACTTCTCATAGACACATCAGGAAGAACAGAATAGTGGAAAATGTTAAGCCCCAAATGCCCATGAAGACCTGGAGCAACAAGCTGTGCATTTGCTGAGTCAGAAGGGACCAGGGGTACATCAGAAAGGTCTTTGGAGATAAGCATTGCAAGGTTTCTCGAGGACCCTATTTGCCAATCTGTTCAGGCCAAGTTTATCTTATAATGAAGAAGACAGGAATGGAGTAAAGTTCTGTAGCAAGGACTCTTGAGATTTTTCGCGTAAATTCATGTCATTTCCACTGACTTTCTCAAACCCTGGCTTGCCCTGAAAAGGACTTAGTCTTTGTTTCTTGTGTGGTAGTATTCTTGGCCCATGGCTCTCTCCCTATATTCTCAAGCTGTTTTGAGGATCTAAGAAACAAAATGAAACTCCCAGTTCCAAAGATGTTTGGCCCCATAGTCAGCCCCCTCTGCTCTGAGTCCTGAAGTGATTCTCTGTCCTTCCTGCAGACGCATCCCCCTTCCCCTGTTGAGAGTTTACTGGCCCCAGAGGCATGCTTGACACAAAGCCACCCTGAGGGTAAGATGGTGGTGTGAACTTCCCTCAAAGTCTTGTAATATGCTGGGGAGACCTGGTCCCAGCTCTGTCTCCTACCAAGAATTTGCCTTTGAGCAAGTCACTCAGAACCTCCTGGATCCTCAGTTTAGTCTCTGACAAGACATCACTAATACCTGACTAATACTGCACAGCAATAAAAATCCTTGCTGCAGAGTGGGCATTCAACAATAGTCCTTTCTCACCCTTAGGCAACCCCTCCCCACCACATCCTCCCACCTATAGTCTTCTGATGGAATCTTGTAGAATTTTACATCATCTCCCAATCCCTAACCTCAAGAAATTTCACCAAGTGCCTTGGTCATAAGGAAATTGCTTGGTATCTGGTCAGTGGAGGTCCAGTCTCACCAAGGATTATTCACTTCTTGATGTTGACCGACATGCCATCTCCTAAACTTTCTTCATTGTGTCCTTGTCTCAGAGTGAGTTGCCAGTGTCTCTGGATCTGTAGATTTTAAGCCAGTTATTTTTATAAGTAAATAGAAAAAATAAATATTAGAAAACCCTGATGTTCCAACCAGTAACAATCCCCGCAGGATTTTGGTATTCCTTAGGCTCCGGAGTACATTCTAAGAAATGTCAATTATCAGAAGACACTCAACAGAACTCATCATCACAGATCATTTTGTCTCAAGATGATTGAATTATTTAGCTCTAAATATTCTGTAGTTTTATTAATATTCAATTGTTCATTCAGCTAATAAATATTTATTGAGAACCATCTGGGCCAGGTATAGTTCCATGCTGTTCTTCCTTCAAGGGGTTCAGGGTTGGATGCTCGATCTGACAAGTAAACAGATTGTTCTCTTGCAGGGTGACAAGAGCAGTGATAGACATAACATCAGAATGCCATGGAAGGGTAGAGGCAGGGGCTTCTATTCCGCCCAAGAGTGTCAGGAAAGGCTTTTCAGGGAAACGTGCTCTTGGGAAAACATGTGTCTTTGAAGATAAATTCTTTTAATATTGTCATTTTGGAAAGCAGCCGAAAAGGTGAAGACTTTATACTCTAAAACAAGTTGCCTGGTTCCCATCCTGATTCTTTGGCAGTGTGCCCCTGGGCCTCTTCCTGCCTAAGTTTTCTCATCCACAAACTCAAAATAATAGGATTCATCTCGAAGGGTTATTATGAAGTCTGAATAAGATAAAGCATATGAAGCACCTGTCACATAATGTGTTCAGTAAGAAAATAGAGAAGAGAAAGGAAAACATCATCTATAACCCAACACTTCAGGATATTTGTTACTATTTGTGTATAGTGTCTTGCAATTTTTCTCTTAAATGCAAAACATAACACACATACAATGTTTTCATTTAACGGCATAAGCATCTGTAACATTACTACATAGTTTTTATATTTATAGTTTTTAATGGTTATCTAGCAGACTGAAATAGCGTTCCATCCTACAGACTGAATAGTTGTTATCTGAAATGTTTAGCACTGGAGGTGTTTCCAATGTTGGATTCTTTTGAATTTTGGAATATCTGCATATAAATATGATATATCTTGATGGTGGGGCTCAAGTCTAAACACAAAATGCATTTACATTTCTTATGCACGTAGCCTGAAGAGAATTTATGCAATATTTCTAGTGCATGTTGACTATAACCTGTCACCTAAGTCAGGTGTGGAATTTTCCATTTGTGATGTCATATTGATGCTCAAAAAGTTTCAGATTTTGGAGCAGTTCAGGTTTAGGAATCCAGATCGGGGATGCTCAACTTGTACAGTTAGCTCTTTCCTTATTGATGTATACTCAGGTGGCTTCCAGTTTTTCAGTACTATAAGTAATTCTTTTTTTTTTTTTTTTTTTTTTGACAGAGTGGATAGTGAGAGAGAGAGACAGAGAGAAAGGTCTTCCTTTTGCCATTGGTTTACCCTCCAATGGCCGCCACGGCTGGCACGCTGCGGCCGGCGCACCACGCTGATCCGAAGGCAGGAGCCAGGTGCTTCTCCTGGTCTCCCATGGGGTGCAGGGCCCAAGCACTTGGGCCATCCTCCACTGCCTTCCCGGGCCACAGCAGAGAGCTGGCCTGGAAGAGGGGCAACCGGGAAAGAATCCGGCGCCCTGACCGGGACTAGAACCCAGTATGCCGGCGCCGCTAGGTGGAGGATTAGCCTATTGAGCCGTGGCGCCAGCTATAAGTAATTCTTAAGTGAACATATTTATTTTATGATTTTCCTGTGTTCTAGATTACTTCTATGGTATAATTATCAAAGATCCAATACCACCAAATGGTATGAATACATTTATATTTTAAAATGTGTATTGCTAAGTTATTGCTAAATTTTCTTTCAAAGGTATGATATATGTTTAGTTCTACAAGAAAAGCCTGTAAGAACTGGCGTCTTTTTCCACCTCCCTTCTTCCTTTTGTCCTGTGTTTCATTTATTACAAATCAGCTCTTCCCATTGTTTCCTAAGTCAAACTTTCTTTTATGAGTCTTCTGTTCATTTCCTTCACATCTTTACCTATTGGGGTCTCACATAGTTTTCCTTGCAGTTTGAACAAGCCCTTCATACATCTTTTTCAGCCTGCAGTTTCCGTGCTGGTTAGCCAGGGCACAGCATAGTATACACTGTGTTCAAATAACAGTCTCCAGAGCTGACCTCTCTAGATCCAGACTCAACTGCCACTTCCTCAGCCTGTGACCTTGGGCAGGTAACCAATCTGTAAATGAGCCCTGGGTCAGCCTCTAGGACTACTGTGATAAAAGGAACCATGTACTTGCTTAGTGTATGTTAGTTATTACCAGGTTCAGGTTTCATAAGAAATTTGAGGTGAGCAAATGAGAAGATGACAAGACTAAATAAACCCCTTGCACATTTTCTCCCTTTCCAGGTAATGTCCACCATGTTTCTCCTCATACTTGTGTTTGCCATTTTTGACTCCAAAAATTTGGGGGTGCCCAGAGGCCTAGAGCCTATTGTCATTGGCCTCTTGATTATTGTCCTCTCTGGCTCTTTGGGGCTGAACAGTGGCTGTGCCATGAACCCAGCTCGAGACCTGAGTCCCAGACTTTTCACAGCATTGGCAGGATGGGGATTTGAAGTCTTCACGTAAGTATCAATGGTGGGGGGAGAGACAGAGATCATGTTGAGCCTTATCAGAGAGGGCTGGCTGGGCTTTGACTGGGAGACCCAGGAGTGTTCTAATGGGAAGATAGAAGTATACACTATGGTTCTCAGTTTGGGACATTTCACTGGTGCTTTGTGGCAAGGTGCGTTATAGGGATAGAGGGGGAACAGAGGGGAACAGAGAGAGGTAAGCTCTAGATAAATCCAGCAGAGATGGGCCTGTCCCATATGGTATAGCAATAATAATCCTTCCATTGCTCTATGGCTTTATGTGAACACTTTGGTTGTCTTTGGATTCACTTTTTAACAGATTTGGGACTAGAATTTACATCTTCTAATGCTACTGCAGGACATCATGAACCATTTCACTTGTATTTCATTCACTCAATGGATCCTTATGGCACACTATCTATGCTGTGGTCACTGTGCTAGGCAAGGAAATTTCAATGTCAGCTGAGCCTTGAGTAATAAATTAAGTGCTCTGGAAACCCCTGTAAGTGCTGAGAAAGCACAGGTTCAGGGAGTGTGTAAGTCTTCCCAGGAACCAGGAAAGGACATGACTAACAAAGTGAGAGCTGAATTAGGTCTTGAGATATGAGTAAGAAATTCCTGATGACACAGACATAAAACAGAGCCAGTGCCCAGAAAATGGCGACTCCGTGGTTTCTACTTCAGAATGTGCTGAGGAAATGCATCTCCTGGTAGAATCCATGTCCCTGGACAAATTTTGCCCATTCAGTCCTTCTCACTGCCGTGCCATGAAATCACAGAGACCACTCTGTGGGAAAAGAACTCACTTTGGCTCATCAGGAAACGGGGCTGAAACAAGGCAAGGGGAAAAAAGAAAGACATGTGTGAGCAAATTCTAGTTCAATATTTACTTTAAGAATCCAGGACATGAGCGCTTTTAAATGCTGTCCTGGTAACTCTGATGACTTTACTTAAAGGAGAGTTTTGGTTGCCTTTTACCAGGCTGAAAAGTAAGCTATTAAAATAATTGATACCACTCACCACCACCATGGAATATCTGAGAACCTCCAGTATGTGCATATCAAGAGGACCTTGATAGTTTTCCTGATATATCTATCTACAGCACCTAAGACAGGGCCTGGCTCATAGAAAAGTTCTGTAGAAAGTTATTGAATGAGACAATGAATAAATAAATTCTAAATGTCAAGCATCACCTAGGTATTGAAAGATACAAAGAGAATCAAGTAACCTCAAGAAATCGACAATGTAATGAATTTTCTAGAATAGTGATTCTGAAACAAAGGCAGGCAATTTTGCTCCAGAGAGTTTTGGCAATGCCTGGAGACATTTGTGGATGTCACAGTTTGGAGTGGACAGAGAGGATTACCACTGGTGTCTGATGAATGGAGGCCAGTGATGCTGCTAAGAATGGACAGGACAGGCCCCCAAAACACAATTATCCAGCCCAAAATGTTAGTAGTATTGTGGTTGGAAAACTATGCCAGAATATCACAATTAAAACACCAAAAGATTTCCAATTAGGAGGGCTCCTTTGTATTATTCCAATGGCACATCAAAGACACATGCCTAAACATCATCTTATTCCAAGAGCCCAGATTAGCCTATGAGTTTCTTTTAATCCTACCTTCTAAAGCCACACATTTGAAGACCACATTCATCCTTCCTCCTTGCCCTCCTTGGTGATTTATCCAAAGCTCTGAGAGTCATGGTGGTTCCACACACAAGTAGAGATCTTGCCTGACCTCTTTTTCCTTTGTTAAGTACATATTAGGAGGGTCCAGAAATGGGGGAGGGTGCTGAGAGTGCTGGAATCTCCTAATGCCAAGCTCTGAGTCTCATGTTTCCCACTAGCATCAGGGTCTTTTCCTTTGTATATTCATTTATTCATTCGTGTAACTATTTGATTTCTTACTCAAGACCCTGTGCTAAAAGTGATAAGACCCTATAGATGTCCTTCATCGCTTTATTTATATTCTACTTACGAGGTGATCACATGGGCTCTAACACAAGTTTGAAGTTGTCAAGTGCATTAAGGAGAATTCACTAATTAACTCCAGGAGTTGAGGGAAGATTTCTATCTCTAAATGTAGGAATTATGGGGGTGGAAGTGGGAGCATTTTGTAGTAGTTAGACCTGCTTAAACAGGCAACTGAGAAGATATCTCAGTGAGGCAAGACAGAATTTTAAAATAACAAGAGATCCAGTCTGGGAAGGGTACGTGCAGAAGACTGGGTCTTTCTAGTCTCTATTCTATAACTTAAAGGGAGTAGCAAAGGATTTGAGGCAGAAGACTGGCATGATTAGAATTTCATTTTAGCAAAATGAATCTGGCATCACCACATAAGATATACTGAAAAAGCAGAGAGTAGAGGAAGAGAGATCCATTAGTAAAAAACTGGGCTTGCGAGTAACCCTCAACTAATAAGTTCTGCAAAAACAAAAACAAAAATGAAAAACAAAAAACCTTGGGATGATACTATCCCTCCAGTGTTTCCATATCCAAGGTAGACATCACAGCTTAGATCCAACACTGAAGTCTCTGGTCCAGTCGAGACTGCCTTGTTCTCAAGTCCCCACTTGCCCCTGCGTGGCGAGCAGGGAAGGATAGATGGCAGGGAGAATGGGGAAACCAGAAGGTCTGACAAGGGTTCGAGCCAACGGATCCTGGCTGACTCCTGCATTCTCAGTAAATATGAGGCTGTTTCCCACTGGAGTTCTCTCCGTTCATTCCCATGTGGGTATTAATGACTTACTAATAGCTGAAGGATCTCTGAAGTATAATTAATTTTCTAAAAAATGGTACTCTTTGTAATAAATTCCTAAAGATGGTCCTTGTGACAATTGCCATGCTCCTGGCATCTCCTAAATCAGAATATACAAATGGTCACCATCCTGCATGCATGGAAGACCAGGCCAGGCAGGTAACCACATCTGAGCTCCTCCACTTAGGACTTGCGACCCTGGCACAATGTGTTTGGGCTTTTAGAAGGAAGCGAGCCCAGCCCCGACAGGAGGGCATGCTCCCTGTCTGATACTCTGGACCTTAACCTGCCTAAGGACAGAAAGAGTTTCCCTGTGAAAGGAAACGATGGCTCAGATAATGCAACATACTCCTTCTTGTGACGACCTCCAGAGAAGGCTCCCAGTTCTTTAAAACCAGGTGAAAGAAGCAGTCACCCTCCAGAACCTCTCAAAGAAAAGTCCATCAGACTTGGGGACGGGGGACACGGTGCTTGGAGAGCAGCAGTACGATGTCCTCTTTCCCATGCTGTAAGAGTGACATCTGGTGGCTGCCGTGCTCCAGCTCAGTGCCCTTATTAAGCCAGCACTGGTGATTGAAGACTTGGAGAACCTGGATGCTCCAGGTGGGAGGGGCCGTGCAGACGGAGGAACTGGGGCTCAGAGTTTCAAACACTTTCTAGACAATCCTGAGACTTGAACTAGGTCATGTGGGAACCAGGATAGGACTCCTGTTTTCTGCCACTTTCATTATCCTTTCTAATCAAAATTTGCTGTTAATAAAAAAAAGGCACAGGGAATGTTCCTGTAGTTATTGAGCACATGATGAAAAGAACAGCCATGAATCCTTCTGGAATACAATCATCACAAATACAATCTGGAATACAATGTGCTTTCATCTTGTTCCCCTGTCTCCCAAGCAGTATCCTGAAATTTTTGTGTTTATCATTCCCATGCTTTAAAAAGAAATAGTTTTATTTTAAATGTATATATCCTTGAACAGTATACTGTATAGTTTTATCTGCTTCTGAGTGTTTGTGGCCCTTTCTCTGGAGTTATTTAAATGATCTCCTCTTTCCAAAAGCCACCTGCTTTCCTCAGAACTTTACTTTTAATAGAAGGTGCTGATATTGAGGATTTCTGAAGGAGGAACAATCATGACACACAAGCTCAATCAGAGAGCAATGCTGAGCTAGGACCTCAAAAATAACCATGAATTTAAGTAAAGTAAGTAATACACATATCCACCTTGGATTTTTAGAAATTCAGTCATTCATGGACAAATATTTCCTGATGGTTTATTTTGATTGCCCTCATATATCAATGATGTGCAGGAATCTTTCCGAATTCTGAACATCTCCTCCATTCATAATCCCTGGGCCTTGTTGTTACAGGATAAGGGAAAGGCAACTCTTAAACAACTGACCTGCACCTTCCCTGGAGGCCCTCAGTCTTGACCATGGGCTCTGGATCTATGTTTTTCAAAAGGAAATAAACATAAACTAGTCTCTCACAAGTTTTAATAGGACAATGTAATAGATCATCTGAAATCAGGGTCCTAGAAAATCTAGGGTGATAGTTCCCATGCTATTCCCTTATAGTCCCATCTCATTCTTAGCTCCTGCTGAGTTAGGAGAGCTGTGAGCAAGAGAAAGATCAGCTGGATAGTGAATAACTAGACAGTATTACCAGGAGGGAGGCCAAGAAATGTCACTAATTTCTTGTTTGATTTCAGAGTCGGAAATAATTTCTGGTGGATTCCTGTTGTGGGCCCTTTGGTTGGTGCTGTCATTGGAGGCCTCGTCTATGTTCTTCTCATTGAAATTCACCACCCAAACCCTAACCCAGACTTCGAGGTAGAACAGTCTGAGGACAAGCCAGAGAAATATGAATTTAGTGTTATAATGTAGTGGTATGCTCTGAAAGATGACATCCAAGTGTTTGTGTTTCTAAGACTTGAGTGGAATTTATCTGCTAGCCATGTAGCACAGCTGGTGACAAAAGCAACCAAGTGAAGGATTGGGAACACTGACCTCTTCTGCACAAGCTTCAGCCCAGAATAACATGGACTGTCCCTTGAAACAGCCGTCCTTCCTGCCCTGTTGGTCTCCTCCTTGATGGGAATCATTGCCTTATTCCTAAGTGAAAACTAATACTTGGAACTTTGACTACAGACTTATTTTCATGGTCTCAGCCACTATGCCTGCATGGAATAGTGTCACCAAAAGCCTCATCTTCAATAACTACAATTAATGCATCCCAACTATCAACCAAAATCTAAAGTGAAAAAGCAAAGTCATTGTTTCAGTTAACATTAACATATCCATAAGCTAGAGAGCTAGCAGGCTAACTCATTAATTAAATTCTGCAACTGTATTTGTCTAAATAATTATATTCTGTATCTGTATAAATACTGGCATTCTTGAAACCTAGGGATGTAGGAAACTGTAGCGTGAAGCTGTAAAGGACATAATGGCATTCAGAACCCCAGGAGACAGGATAAATTTGGGAAACCAAATGGAATTTTTCTAATGGAAACCATTTATCAAATTAATCTCCTGCTTTTCTGCATTTTAAAGGACAACAATTAATTTCCTGATCTTTAGTATATGATAACCTAAAATACAATTGTAACCTCAGTCATGAAAAATACATCATGCTAGCTTTATAGCTCAGATGTATTTTCCTAATTGCTTACTTGAGGACAGACATTTGACAGGTTGAATCAGCGGCTGCACTCATCCATTACTCTACACATAACCCAGAAGTCGAAGCTGGAAGCCATCAGATCCTGGAGTAGTATGACCTGCAGAGAAGAAGGTCCCTGGAAGGATAATATTAACTTAGCAGACTTTACATTTTACGAAGCATTTTCACACATCATCTAATTTAATCCTCATAAGGATTGAGGCAAATACCATGCTGTCCATTTTGCAGATAAAGAAACAAAATCTCAGGAAGTTAGGTGAGTGCCCAGGATCACCTGCAAGTTGAACTTTGCCTGATGCACCTCTGACTCTTCAGATGATCAATGACTGCCCGAGAATCCTTGCCAGCTCTTGCTGGCTTTCCAGAAGAAGCGGACTTGGCAGCTTCCAGAAGAAACACACATACATCTGGACATGCTTCCACATTTTGTCTGGTTTTGTTCCCACAATCCCTGGAGCACTACTGAGGAAACAGGTAGCCATTTGATCATAGCTTTCCTGGGCTAAAAGACATTACCAACCAAGGCTCCCTTCCTAAACCACTTTCGGCCTTGCTGAGTCTTGATCTTGCTTCCCTGCCAACCCGAAACATGACACTCAGAGAACTGCTTCTTCCCTAGCCGCTTCTCTGTGAGTTTTCTAATTGATGTAACTTTCAAACAAAGATCCTCTGTGAGTTATAAGCACGGGGTGAAATGTTCTAAATCAAGGGATACACCTTCAGTCAGGCTGCTAAAAAGCCCAGCATTCCCGAGGGTATCTAGTCACCAATGGCTGTGTGATGATGAAAGAACAGTAAATAGCAAATGCAAAGTGTCTCTGATGACCTAAGTCCTACAGTTTATGGACATACAGAATGTTCTCACTCTGCAGCTACCTGCCTGGATATTTCCTATTTGCAATAAAATTGTTGGGTTGTTGTTGGCCTCTTTCTGTCTTTTTATTTTTTATTTTTGTAAGTAAAAAAAAAACTACTAAATATACATAGTTCAGAGGTTATCTATTTACAAAGTTGGATTTCTCTGGCAAGATTTTAGAAAATATTAATGCCCCATTGGTCCCATTTGTCCAAATAGCTGAGGTGACTCTGATAGGTAGCAGTTGAGGACACTGACTTAGTTAAAACACATGGGTCTAAGGTTTCTTTGAAAACCGTGTCTAATTGTGGCCAGGAAAACCCTGGCAGTAGTCTCAGAGTCTTGGGATCATCATGCATTACAGCAATAGGTCTCAACAGAGGGCAGTTTTAGTCCTTTCTCTCCCATAGTCCTCAAGGACAATTGGTAAGTGTGGAGGCATATATGCTTGTTATAACTAGGGAAGGGGTACTAGTGGCACTACAGACCAAGGATGCCTCTAAACCTCTTGCAATTCAAAGACAACCCTTCAAACAAGGAATTATTTGACCCCCAAATATCCATAATGCTGAAGTTGAGAGATACCAGAACTGAAGAAATGTGAAGAGAAGAGTTAAGAAATTGGAACCCTGTGCCCCTACTCAAGTTCTGCCAGTGGGAGAGATGCAAAACATACCAGGAACAGTCCCTGGAGGCAAATTATACTTCTTAGAGCAAGAGAGAACCCAAATTTTGAGTTTCCGGATGGATTGTGGAATCAGTGATTCACACAGGTGTTCATTAAACACTACCTGGTGATTAATGACTAGGATTATGAAGAGGAAACATATACTTAGGGAAATCAACCCCAGGAAGGTTTTTTTTTAATGGGAGAAAAAGTCTCTTATTCCATGTGCTCGCACTAAAATGCTTCCCCATCCCCTAGTTTACAAGTAAGTAGATTTGTCTTTGTCAAGTTCTTACCCAAGAGCATGTTTATGAGGTTGAATAACTGGCATCAAAGTCAACTACATACAGCCAAGTAACCTATTTTTAAATAGCTCTTTTTTTTTTTTTTTTTTTTTTTTTTTTTTTTTTTTTTGACAGGCAGAGTGGACAGTGAGAGAGAGAGACAGAGAGAAAGGTCTTCCTTTGCCGTTGGTTCACCCTCCAATGGCCGCTGCGGCCAGGATCCGAAGGCAGGAGTCAGGTGCTTCTCCTGGTCTCCCATGCGGGTGCAGGGCCCAAGCACTTGGGCCATCCTCCACTGCACTCCCGGGCCACAGCAGAGAGCTGGCCTGGAAGAGGGGTGACCAGGACAGAATCCGGCGCCCCGACCAGGACTAGAACCCGGTGTGCCAGTGCCACAGGCGGAGGATTAGCTTATTGAGCCGTGGCGCTGGCCTAAATAGTTCCTATAGTAGTTAGAATTATTATATCACCTCTTCCCTGTCCTATGACAATTGAAAAACTTGAACTTTTATCTTAATGCCAAACACAGAATTTTCCCATTATTCCAATCAGTTAACACCCCAGAATATATTAAAAGATTTCTTTAATCACTCACAATCAGAGTCAATATTCAGCTGTTGAACAGAATAAATGGAATATAAATGTCACTTTCAAAACTTTGAGGGGCTGGCGCTGTGGCATAGCAAGTAAAGCCGTCACTTGTAGCGCCGACATTCCATACGGATGCCAGTTTGAGTCCCAGCTGCTCCACTTCCCATCCAGCTCTCTGCTATGGCCTGGGAAAGCAGTAGAAAATGGCCCAAGTCTTTGGGTCCCTGCACTTGCGTAAGAAACCTGGAGGAGGCTCCTGGCTCCAGCCATTACAGCCATCTGGGGAGTGAACCAGTGGACAGAAGTCCTCTCTCTCTCTCTCTCTGCCTCTGCCCATCCATAACTCTGCCTTTCAAATAAATAAATAAATCTTTAATAAAAAAGAAAACTTTGATACTCAAGATACAAATTACCAGGTTGGCGCTGTGGTGGCTGGAGCACCACCAGCTCTAGAGATCCTGTGATGGGTTATTTGGGCCTAGTTCTTGTGTAGTGTCACACAGTTTGCAAAGCACGCTCACATCCAATGCCTCATCAGATTCTAAGAACAGCTCAGCAAGTAGATTACCATACTCATTTATAGTTTCTGAGGTACCAAGTGATTTGCACCAAACTCCAGGGCTCAGAGTAGCAAAGATGGGATGTGAACGCAAGTCTGAACGGGAGAACCACAGCCCCAGTCGGCTCGGGCCTCAGGGCTTTCCTGGGATGCAGGATTTAGCCCTGAATCCAGACCCGTGCACAGCCACCCACTCCACCACCTCTCTCTGACAGATGCTCCCACTCTGCTTCGTGGTCCTCTGGCAGATAAAATGTTCCTTCATTAAGTTGACAGGAAGAGAGAAAGTCTTCATTTTTAACTTTAATTATAAATGTGAATAAATGTTTAAGTGTGGCATAGTAGTTAAAAACCTAGGCTATTAATGAAAACTCTTGTCAGCTCTGTCTTCAAAATATATTCCAAATCTAACCCCTCAAACCCACGGCCCAGATTCAAGCCTCTGGCATCTCTGCTACTGGCTCTTAGGAGAGCTAACTGGCCTCCCTTGCTCTGCTTAAATTCCTACAGCCTGCATGATCTGCAGATAAAAACTCACATGGCTTTCATAGAATCACATGCTGCGATCTTTCTGTCCTGGTTTCTACTGCTCTCCTCCTTGTCTGTCCTCTACCATCAGTCACAAGGGCCTCTTTTTTTTTTAATATTTATTTATTTACTTGAAAGTCAGAGTTACACATCAGAGAAGGAGAGGCAGAGAGAGAGAAAGAGGGAGAGAGGGAGAGAGGGAGAGAGAGGTCTTCCATCTGCTGGTTCACTCCTTAATTGGCCACAACGATCAGAGCTGTGCTGCTCCAAAGCCAGGAGCCAGGAGCTTCTTCCGGATCTCCCACTTGGGTGCAGGGACCCAAACAGAGAGCTGGATTGAAAATGGAGCAGCCGGGTCATGAACCGGTGCCCATATGGGATGCTGGCACTGCAGGTGGCGGCTTTCCCTGCTACACCACAGCGCCAGCCCCATTCACGGGCCTCGATTGTGATCCACCAAGCAATCCCCTACTACAAGGTCTTGCACTTAATGTGTCTCTTCCGTGAAATTCCTTACCCTACCTCCTTCAAATTTGTCTAAATGTCACTATGTTAGATAAGTCTTTCAGATCACCTGTTGCTCCCTGTTCTATTCTCTGCTTTATTTTCCTTCCCTTCCCTAAGACAGACATAGTATGTATTAAGCTTGCTGCATTTTATCTCTTTCTGCCCATTGTAGTAGAAGACCAAGGCTGGCAAGGCTTTTTGATCTTTTATTCACTACCTGCCCTAGTGTCTGACACATGGTAACCACTCAACGGATAGCTGTGACTGAACGGAGTGCACAAACACACTTTCTGGGTTCAAATTTGAGCTCTTCTACTTGCTAGTTCAGCAGCCATGTTATTTAGTGCCAGTCTATTTATCTATTAAGTGTGGATGATAACAATGAGATAATCAACGTAAAGCACTTGGAATAGTTCCAGCCTCACAGTACCAGGGGAGAAAAAAGAAACTTTCTTTTTCAAATAAACTCCATCAAATTCAGGACACCTTTATAAGCAATGACACCAGCTGTTTAGTCCATTCCTAAATAATTGAGGGTCCTGGGAATTTAACCATGCTTACACATCCTCTTTTACATTATTAACTGAAGAAAAATAGATGCCCTTCACATTTTTTTAAGATTAGGAAACAAAAAGAAGTCAGAAAGAGCCAATTCAGAACTATACTGTGAACACCTAATGATTTCCCATCAAAACTCTCACAAAATTACCCTTGTTTGATGACAGGAGTTAACAAGAACATTGTGGCAATGGAGAAGTACTCTCTGATGAAGGTTTCTTTGGCATTTTTTTTGCTAAGGTTTGTTTTTTCGCAAACACTCTCATAAAAAATAGATATTATTGTTCTTTGGCCTTCCAGAGAGTCAAAAACCAAATTGCCTTGAGCATCCCAAAAAGCTGTTGTTGTGACTTTGCTCTTGAATAATCAGGTTTTGCTTTTATTGGCCCTTTCCACCTCTTGATAGCCGTTGCTTCAATTGTGCTTTGTCTTCAGATCATGCTGGTAAAGCCATCCTGGTAAAGCCACAGTTCTTCAGGATCTTGATCCCACCTGTGCTGCTTTTTGTTCTTGTTTTTATTTTTTGACAGGCAGAGTTAGACAGTGAGAGAGAGAGAGAGACAGAGAGAAAGGTCTTCCTTCCATTGGTTCACCCCCCAAATGACCACTATGGCCAGCACGCTGTGCTGATAAAATAGTCCCAACTGGGACTATAACCCAGGGCGCTGGCGCCACAGGTGGAGGATTAGCCTAGTGAGCCATGGTGCCAGCCAGTCCCACCTATTTAAAACCTCCATTGACAGCTCTGTTCTTGTCTGCAGCTCATCCAGGCATTACAGTTTTGGCACCCAGTGAGCAGAAAGTTTGCTCCACTTTAATTTTTCAGTCAGAATCGTGTAAGTTGAACCAATTAAGGTGTCTGTAGTGTTGGCCATTGTTTCTGCTATTAGTTATCAGTTCTCTGTGATTAGGGAATGATTACAATTATTCCCTTACAAATTGTTGTGGGTGGTCTGTTTATATGGGCTTCATCTTCAACACTGCATTGTCTCTTCTTAAAATAAGCTATCTATTTGGAAACTGCTTATTACTCTGGGGCATTGTCCCTATACATTTTTCATAAAACATCAATAATTTCACCATTCTTCCACCTAAACTTTACCACAAATTTAATGTTTGTTCTTGCTTCAATCTAAGGAATTCATGTTGCTCAGATAGGGGATCTATTCAAATTGATGCTTTTCTTTTATTAATGCCACAAGCCAGATCCTCTCCAGATATTCTGACATGACAGTGCAAGTTTGTTTTGTTACAAAAATTTTGAAACCCATACACAGTTTTTTTCATATTACACATTTTCTGTGAACTTTTTTGAAAACTCTTGTATTAGACAAATGCAAGTATGAACTTTTGCTACTGCAGCAATTGC